TCCATGAAGAGGAAAGATGGAAAGGACCTCAAACACCCTCCAAAGCAGAGACCCCACTCTGCCAGCGTCCTGGGCAAGCTCTCAGCATCTTCTCCAGCCCTCCACCCCCGCCTGAGCATCCTTCACAAGCAGGCTGCCCCTGGAAGCCCTTGGACAGCCTATAAATCTTCATCCCAATTTCCCTATTTTCCAGATTCAGGGCTAACGGCAATGTGCTTGTTCTATGCGAAAAACAGAAAATGTTCAGATTTATTGCTTTGAGAGTTTGGTCTGTCTCTTGGGCCTGGTTGATGCAGTTTCCTCCAAGTTTCATAGCATTTTGTTAAAAAAATAATAATAATTTTTGACAGCAGTGTTTTGCCTCACATTTACGCACGGTTTATAGTTTAAGAAGAGGGTTCACATAATAACGATAACAATCATCGCTATATGTATTGAGTTCCTACACTAAGGAGCTCAATTCACCCTTGAAACCACCCTCCCTTTCCACAGATGGAAAAGCAGAGGCTCAGGGAAGTTAAGGGGCTTGCCCAAGGTCACACAGCCCAGAGAAAGGGCAGGGTGGAGCTGAACCCAGGTCCATTCGGTTTTGGCCTGTGTTCCTCCTCTCCTGGCCTGCCCTTCCGCCTTTCTTATCGTCAGCCTGACTGAATGCACACCAACCTGCAGATAAACAGTGAGAAAAAACACCAAACAAAGCAAAAACCAGGGGCTTTTGCAGAAAACAGAGGCTGGAATGCATATAAAAATAACCACGTATGTTCAAGGGAATCGTCCGGTCCCCAAACAATATGTGTTTTTTCTGTTTGTTTTTTTTTTTTGCGATACGCGGGCCTCCCACTGCCGCGGCCTCTCCCGTTGCGGAGCACAGGCTCTGGACATGCAGGCCCAGTAGCCGTGGCTCACAGGCCCAGCTGCTCCGTGGCATGCGGAATTCTCCCGGACCGGGGCACGAACCCAAGCCCCCTGCATCAGCAGGCAGACTCCCAACCACTGCGCCACCAGAGAAGCCCCCAAACAATATGTTTTGTGCTAAGATTCTTTCTGTAACGATGCAGGTGGTGGAGGCTCCAGTGGGGCAGGGAGTCAGCGAGCAGAGGACTGGCTCTCTGAGCTCTAAGGCTGCACTGTCCAAATGGCGGCCGGTAACCACACACGTGGCTATTTAAATTTAATTAAAATGAAATAAAATTAAAAATTTAGTACTTCAATTGCATTTGCCACATTTTAATTGCTCAGTATCCACATGTGGCCACCCTTTTGGACAGCAGTTCAAATATTCACCCTTTTGAACATTTCCATCATCACAGAACGTTCTACTGGGCAGCATTGCTCTAAGCCCCCAGTGAGCCTGCCCCTGTCTTATCTTGACTGTCCTGGAGGAGCGGGAACCACTGGCGTAGGTGATAGACGCCTGTTCTGAGGTAGGTCCCTCTGTAGCCAAGGTGCCGATAGATGCCATCCCAGCACCCAAGCCCTTCTACTTTTTTCTGGAGAAGCTACAACTCCAGGGATGCACTTAAAGGGCAGAAACTAAAGGAGTGGCCATTCATTGAGGCCGTGCTACTCAAAGTGTGGTTCAAGGACCGGCAGCAGCAGCATCTCCTGGGAGCTTGTTAGAAACACTCCATGCCAGACCCACTGAATAAGAACCTGCATTTTAATAAGACCCCCAGGTGATTCAGGTGCACATTCAAATTTGAGAAGCTCTGACTTAAGAGACAGGCTGAGTGGGATCAAAATATTGTCCCAAATATAGGAAACCAATCAGATATTTTTAGATACAAAAAAGAGCATCTGCAACCTGTCCCCCCACTAGCGTGTGATTAAGCATGAGTCACAGAGGGCTGAGCATCTCTGCGCCACGTGGTCCATCAGCATACTTCCAAGGTTAGCTCTCTGTGGAGGAGCTGGCCCATTCCCTACAGCTAGCACCTTCTTAAACCATGATGGGGTCACCTCTCCAAAGTAAAGAGAACAGAACTAAGACTCACACCCTGGATCTCAGGGATGCTGCCTTTAAAACAGATTTTCTATTTTTGCCTTTCTTACCAACGCGTTTGGCTTTTGAACTTTGCAAATTGCCAAAGACACAATGCAGTGTATAAAGCCAGTCTGAACAAACATACAGTCCCTTAAAGGGAGGCGTCTTGCAAAGGGCTGTGTCCCCCCTTCCCAGGGACGTGATGCCCCGCACGCCCCAGTGCCTAAAACCAGGTGCTAGTGAAGCTTTCTGGGAAGGAACCAGCATCAAGCCCATCCATGAAGAAAACAGGTGAAAAAGGTTCCATCTGCAGCAAAGGCAAACACGAGGCTTGAGGCTCTGGCAGCACGCTGGCCGCCCCCCCCCAGCTGGGGATGGAGGGGTCTGCTTTGGGAGTGGTTCCTGAGCTTCGATGCCTCCTTCAGTGAGGATGACTCATCCCTTAATTCCTCTCTCCTCTCAGTCTGCCTTGGGTCTTACTTATTTTTATCCCCGGAATGGAGTTAAGTTGCCCAAAGCATGATATTTCTCCACCTGCAAGGGCTTTCCTGGAGGATGAATTTTAAAATATTCATTTTTACAGCTTGCTCCCAGCTATAACGCAGAAGACAAGAATGCCGTGGGGAGGAGCGGGGACAGCGACACAGGCCCAGCGGGGAAACCTGGGGTCTTGGGGAACTGCTAAGTGGCTCTGCCCTGGAGAGACATTCCAGGGACTGACTCCAAGGATTTGGACCGGGGAAAATGGAACGGGTCCAGTATGCCTTCATAGCTCTCTTATAATGCTGAAAAAAATTAAAGTCACGCCTGAGGACAGTCCTGCTGTTTTTGCTCTGCCAGCAGGCAGGTCTGTTATTTTGGTAGCAAGCCTCATTTTTTTCTCCAGGGAACAGCATTTTGCCCATTACATGGGGTCTCGGTGGGCCTGTCAGTCAAGATGCCTTGCCCTCCCTTTGGCTGGAGGCACGTGACTCAGACCAGACCATTTGGAAGCTCAGGTCCTTGAAAAGAGACACAGTAGCATCTGGAGCGAACATCTGGATTCACCCGTCCTGGTGGTGGTGCCTGGGGAGGCTGCCTCCTGGTTCTTGCAAACTGGATCCATGGCCAAATCAAATCCTCTTCCTCATCCTTCTTTGTTTTTTTTGTTTGTTTGTTTTCTTTTTGGTTTTTTTTTTTGTGGTACGTGGGCCCTCACTGTTGTGGCCTCTCCCATTGAGGAGCACAGGCTCCGGATGCGCAGGCTCAGCGGCCATGGCTCACGGGCCCAGCCGCTCTGCAGCATGTGGGATCTTCCTGGACCGGGGCACGAACCCGTGTCCCCTGCATCGGCAGGCGGACTCTCAACCACTGCGCCACCAGGGAAGCCCTGCCTAGTCCTTCTTGATGTCTGGCTGTTCACTCTCCTGAGATTCCATGAGCCACTCCAAGGCATTTTAATTCTTTTTTTTTGCTTAAGTTAGAGTTGGTTTCTATTATTTGTAGCTAAAAATCTAAACTGACACAAACCCAAATGCCCAACAATTGGGGCTCAGATCCAGAAAGTGTGATACAGCCCATGATGGAACACTACACAACCAGGTACAGCAATGAGATAAATGTATGTTGACGTGGAAAGATGTTCATAATATAGCATTTGGTGCAGAGCAGATTATAACAAAACAGGATGTCACAGTTGACACCATGTTTGCAGAATACACTCTGTACCTTCATAGAGAAATATCTAGAAGAAAATGTAACAGTATTTATTCTGGAGGGTAGGAAGGTGAATGATTTTTCTTTCAGCTTATCATAAAGATAAGCTTTCTAACCTTTCTATAATACCTGTGTAATCAATTTTGTGTTTTGCTTTTTAAAAAATGGGCCCTAGCAGGTCACTGGAGCCATGCTATCTTGGTGCCTGTCAAGAGTGAAGTGGTTTTCTGGGTTCAGGCAGCAACTTATTTACCAAATGCCCGGGCTCCTGCTATAGCCACAGCTTCCCTGTAGCTCTAACTACTGCTTAAGAACATGCCGGAAGCATCTGAGTCTCCAGAACAAGGAAGCAGCACTTCCCACAGCTCCAGGGCACCAGCAGCATCCCACTTAGGAGAACCTTGTGAGGTGGAGGGTCTGCTCTCTGCCTGATGGAAAAGAGCAGCTCAGGGAGACAGGTGACCTGCCCAGGTTCCCACAGTGAGGGTTTAAAGCCAGGTCACCTGGCCCAGGGCCCCAACACCCCAGGGGCTACTCAAGTTCACTAACAGCCAAAATGAAGTGGCTGAGCCTGGGGAAGGACTCGGTATTATCCTGTGAAGTCAGCTGTGTGGACACGCTGCAAAGGGGTGAGGGTGAGGGAGGGGAAGCTCTCTCCTCAGTGTTGGGGCCTGACCTCCTTGCCCTGCAGAACGGCCTCCTCCCGGGGGTGACGGTCAGGAGGAGAGTGGATCTGTGGGATAGTCTTACCTTCCAGCTCTCAGCTTGAAGGTCATCTGCTCAGAGAGGCTCTCCTTGACCCTCTAAGGCAGGTCCAGACATTAGTGCCTCAGCCTGCTTGTCTCCTTTGGAGCACTTCACGTAACTTGCAGTCATTCTCCTTCATGGTCTGTGTGTCCCTGCTTGGCTATATGCTCCCTGAGGGCGGGGCTTATGACTGTCCCACCCACAGCTGTGTCCCCACGTCTGGTCCCCTGCAGGCACTCACCAAGTATCTGCTGAATGATGGAATAGATGAACCCTGGACTGGGGTGGTGAGCAAACCCTAGGGGTTTCACCTCTGCCTTTACTGGCTGTGGGACCTCAGGCAAGTTGCTGCTCCTCTCTGGGCCTCTCCCAAGGCTTGATGTAAGTATAAATATCCAGCTTCATTTAAAGGGTTGCCCTCACCCTTCCTGAATATATTAGGACCAATTCAAGGGAAGGTAATAGAAGTTGGCATCTTTATACCTTAAATCAACTGCTGGTTGATCATTCCTTCTGATGATAGCATTGCAGTGGCCTCCCCAGGAGTCACTGATGTGCGATGAACCCAATTGTATTTCTTATTCAATAAACTCCTTTATTGTAACTTTACAGAATTTTCCATTACAATACTGAAAACAGCACTAGTGATTCGTAACACTTAGGCCCAAATCAAAGGGGAACCCCTCCTCAAATTATAAGGTAAATGACACATAATTGAACATATAGTAAACGTTGGGCAAAAGGAATTCAAAATATAGAAAATGGGGTCAAGGTTTTGTGTGTGTGTGTGCAAACACTTTAAGGTTTAGTTTATTGGAGGACACCATTTCTGAAAGCACATGATTTTGAAAACTATATTTAAAATCTGTGAGAAAACACAACTGTAGAGAAAAGGCAAAATCAAGCAAAAACCAAAAAACCTCCAAAACGAAAGGAAGTGAATCAAATCCACGAGGCTGCAAGGCAAACCTCCGGTGCTTTGGCCCTGGAATGGCAAGTGAGCAGGTTTCATAGACATTCTCCGTGGAAAGGAACGTCTGGGCCTGGTGTGACATCGCTGTGTCTCCGAGTCCTGTCTCCTCACAGAGGAAAAGAAGTTGCTCGTCCAACACATCTGCCGGGTCCGCCAGGCAGGGGCCCACATCTCCAATCCGTTTGAGAACAGCCCCAGATCCCGTAAAGGTGGTCCTGGAGCACAAGGCGACGGGTGGTGGGAGTCAGGCCCCGCCCCTGCCAGAGCTGTCCGGGTGGCTCACGGGGAGCGGGTGGGCCTCCGTGTTGAACACCCAGTCTTCCAGCGAGAGCATGTCATCTTCAGAGAACAGAAGATAGAGATACCTATGCCCCGGCAGGGAGGGGAGCAAGACACAGCCTGTCAGCGCTCTGGGGAAGGGGCCACCCACTGGGAAGGAATCGCAGGGGCCTCTGTGACTGGTCTGTGCCCAAGGGCGCAGGCAGGTCGGAGACCCCAAATCTGCCCGGAGGGCTCGTCCCCAGGAAGGAGCTGTGGACGCCGAGGGGAGCACTGAGCTTTAGGTCAGACAGAACCGGTTCATCCTGGCTCTGCCCCAGCCCCCGCTCTGTACCTCCCCCTCAACCAGCTTCCCTCAGGTGCTTTCCCCACCTGGCCCTCTTAGGACCCTGTGTGGCCTAGATTCTCTCTTTTTTTTTTGCAGGGAGGCCTGAGGGCTACCCCAGGACTCGGCCTGCTTCCTTATGTACCAGGAGACTCGACATTCAAGTAGATGTCCGGGCGCTAAAACGCACAGGGAGTCGTGACTCCAGAACTGCAGGTTTCCAAGCCATGGGGGTTTTTAATGGAAGGAACAGACCATCCAATCCATCCTAAAGAGCTAAAGCACAAGGGGACTGCTTTAGGGAACAGCGAGGAAACGAGGAGGCCAACTTTCACCCCAAGAAAGGAGGGGAACAGCACAGCAGCTCAACTGCAGCAGTGACCGGGCTTGACACCATCATGGTTATTACTCTGCCCATTTTACAGAAGGGCACAGTTTCAGAGGACTTAAGTAACTTGAGGAGACAGGTTAAAGAAGTTAACTTCTCACATGGCTAATGCTTAGGGGGGTGGAGTCCAGCCCAGCCTCACTCTGCGGGGAGAAACTGGCCTGGCCCAAGGCCCGCCCCTGGATCCCAAGCCTCCATCCCTCTTGGGCCCCCCTCCTGGGACAGCAGAACTTGACTGATGGTGAAGGAAGGGACTGCTGCCCCCTGCCCCTCCCCTCTGCCCCCTCCCCCTTCCCTAAGAAAAGCCCGAGTTGCCCTCTGGGAAGAACACCAGCCGACCCCCGACTCACTTTAGTGTCTCCGCTAGAAAGAAAGTCTGCTGCTTGTTGTCGTGGTCGGGAACCTTACTGTATACGTCTTGGATCCCAGAGAACCCGGCTTCCGTCCGACAGTATTTCTCCAGGGCCTGAAGGAAAGGAAGGCAGCCATGGTGTGGGGAGAGGAGAGGCCCCCCCCCCGCAAGATTCACGCCTGCCCAGCTCTCGAACAGGCAGGCCCTCCCACCCCTTGGCTGGGGACCCCAGCGTTGGTGGGGGCAGCAGGCCGAATTCCTGCTGTCACCACGCTCCCTGGGCCCACGCAGAGAACTTAGTCCCTGCCCGGCCTGAGCGCTTCACCTGGTGTGAACTTAGAGGAAGCTTCTCTGCCTCTCGGGGAACTAGACTGACCTGACAGACTCACCCACAGTGGTGGACAGAGGTCAGGGAAGGGGCTGGTGATGTTTGCGGGCTGGGATTTGGGGACTGGACTTGGCACGCCCCAGGGATTCCCTGTAGAGATGTAGGCCCTGGGCCAGAGGCTGTGCCTGCCTTTTGTACAGAAATGCAAGTTGTACCCACTGAGGGTCTGTGGGTGGGGCCGAGGAGCACAAAACACTTGGCTTTCAAAGGTCAAGAACCAGGGTCTTCAGGAAAGCAGAGGGATTCTGGCCAATGAAGCATGTCAGGGAGCCTGAGCAGGGCCCACGCCCCAGCTGAGCACGTGCTCTGGGAGTGTGGCTCTCCCCACCAAGTCTGTGCCTCCGAGAGCAGTGGGCCTGGGGGAGAACAGCAGAGAAAGCTTGGCATCCATCCAAGAACCTTCTGGAATCCCCACCCCTGCCTTTGATACCTGCCCCAAAGAAGGAAGGGGATTGGGGGAGCAGAGCCCAGAGAGAGGGCTGCCCAGGGCTGGGCTAGCTTCGGGGAGAGGAGGGAGGTGAGCTGGCAGCCCGTTCCTGTTTGAGAGGAGAAATCCGAAGTCACCTGTCCAGGCTTCAGCGTCGGAGAGCTGTGACCACGCGTGTGCTGGGCCACCTCTGACTGCTGCCCTGCGTCCGCCCCGCTCAGTTTGCTGACATTATTGGGCACTCAGAACACTCTTCACGAGTTCCTGGCCTGCTCCTGGCCGGCTGGGGACTCTTGGCTCTGCAACCAAACCTTGACCCTTTGCACTCTCAACTTTAGCTAGATGCCAGCCTGGCTTGCCCTTCCTCTTGGGTTTGGACCCTGACTGTGAATTCTCAAGGGCACCTGCCACCAGTTCACCACACTCCCCCTGTGCCCCGCCACTCACCATCACCACTTCCCAGCCCCACTCCCTGTAGATGGGGTCGTGGGTCTGCCGCCACAGGTACATGTAACTCTCCACCACCTCGGGCCGCAGGATGTAGTAGCTCTCGCTCGTCTGCGTGGCCACGGCCTCTCTGCCTGAGTTAAACCAGAAGGCTTCGGGCCCCAGTTTGGTATCTGCAAGAATGACCAACCAGGGGGCCTGGGTCAGACCTCCCACCTCCTGCTCTTCAGGATCCCAGTGCCCCAGGAGAGACGGAAGTGGCGTGGTAGCCCTGGCCGGGGCCAGCTGGTGATGGGCTGGCATGGGCTGGCCAAAGCAACGCCCTTAGGCCTCGAAACGTCTGCAGTTTAGACCCTGAGAATCCAAATGAACTTCCCAGCAGTCCGGGGAGACAAAAGTTTGGGTGAGACATTAGCCCTGCAGGATGTTAACCAGTGCTCAGCCAAAAAGGGGTTGTAGTTTTAAGCACATTTGGGGAACAGTGGGTTAAACAAAGTGAAAGCCTCCTGTCTACAGGACTTACCAGACCCTTTAATTTGCTAATATTGCAATGATGCTTCTCCACAGACCCCCTTTCTCTGGGAACTGCTTTTGACACGTCCCAGAACCAGCCTTCCAGAGCTGACAGTTTGGGAGATTGCTGAGGTGGAGATGAGGGAAGATTCGCCCAGAAGGCACGTATTCAGGCAGAGGGAGCTGAATAAAGAAGGCCTGACGAGGTCTGGGTTTTGTTGTCATTGTTTGGTTTCGGTCAGTTTGCTGCTGTTCCTGTTTTCTGGATGACCACCATTATAACCACCACTGCAGCCACCATTTAGGAGTTCAAGGGCTGTGCTGGGTGCTTTACATACATTTATTGCAATCCTTAAAAAATGTTGTTTTGGTAAGGCAGATACTTTTACCTGCCTCTCGCGCATGTGGAAACTGAGGATCAGAGAGGCTATGTAATTTGTCCAAGGTAACACAGCAAGTTGTGGCCGAGCTGGGATGTGACCCTGGATCTGTCTGATGCCCTTTCCCCAGGCTGTCCTCTCTCTCTTTCTCCCCTGGGTCTGACTCTTTAGGTCCAAAATTTAGGGTATGTGGGTCAGATCATCCTCCCTTTAATGCCTGCATATCCTGTCAGGTCAGCGGAGGGCCCAGCTCTGGTCCTAATGTGGGCCCCCCACCTCCCATTAGGGCACAGGACCCCACGAGGTCCTGGGCTGCTTTTTCTCAGAGACATATTGGAGCTTTGCAGGACATCCTACTCATTCATGGAGGGCTTCATGGAAGAGGAATTAGGCAGATCCTGGCTCCTCTGATCCTCTCAGATGGCACAGCTGCTCTTGGCCATCAGAACACAGCCGTTTCGCCAAGCTGCTAATGGGGTGAGGGCAAGAGCGATTGCTGCAGCCATCCATGGACGAGCCGGGCTGGTTGTAACAACATGCTTTACTAAGCGGACTGTCTTTTATGGTCTGGGCTGATTGTCCCCGACAAATAGCAAGCTTTTTATTATTCCTGAGATTTCCTATTTGTTTGTGGTGCTGGCAGAGATAGCTCTTTGAAGGGAATTGAAGACCGGTTTTAAGGACCCACTGCAAATTGCTGGCTTCCTGAAAACACCTCCAGGAGCTCTGGATTCCACTGGCGTGCTCACAGACACGTTTTCGGTGGACTGCTAACAAACGCCTCCCATGCTGCTGGCTGAAGGCACGGGCCAAGCACTTACTGTGGGGCCCAGGAGACCTGTGTTATTGTTCCCACTGAACAGATGAGAAAACAGAGGCCACCAGCTGCTGAGCGGCAGAGTGGCATTTGAGCCAGGATCTTTTATTGCAGATCTTAGGTCCTCTCCTCCAACCAAGGCTGGGTTTACAACTCAGAGCGGTGGGCCCCTTCTGGGGTCAGGGGGGCCCGGGGCTTTTTCTGAGGGGTGTTGTTTAGAAAGGCAGCACACAAGATGGGGCTGGGCATCAGGAGACCTGGGTTCTAGCCCCGGCTTAGCTACTCATACACGGTGTGGCTTTGGGAAGCCAGGTCCCCGCTCTGGGCTGACTCAGCTTCCCCGCGTGTAAAATGAGGAGTTGGGTTCACATCCTCTCGTGCGGCTCCTGAGTCTAGTGTTTGACAGGGCTGCGGTGACTGCTGGCGGGGATGGTGCAGAAGCTCTCAAGCTTTCCGGGGGTCTTGGATCAGAGGGTGATTACGGGGCGGTGCCAGGAGGTGGTGAGACCCTCTGAATGGGAGCGTTCCAGGGAGGAAAGGCAGAGATACGTTTAGGGGTAAGGGCTCAGGGAGAAGGAATTTGCTAAAGGCTCAGGAAGCCAATGTTTCTGCCTCAGGGGCTGGAGGACCCTCTGCTCTGAGCCCCTCACATGGGAACTTGGCCGGGTCATCTCTGAGCCTCAGTTTCCTCATCTGTGTTGTGAGGGTCAGCGATGATGTATGTCAAGTGCTGAATGACACCCGGCACACACAATGTGCTAACACAGCGCCGTGTTCCCTTTAACTGAGGGCACAATCTCTGTGTGTGTATAGCACACCCCTCATTCAAATTCCGGGTAACCTCCAAGGTGAGGCTTCCCTAAGTCCACGTATCCCCTTCGCTCACTACCACTCTCCTGGGCTTTCCAGTCCCTCCTGGTGTCTAGCCTCAGTCTTTCCTGCTGCCCCTTCCCCTTGCAGGGTTACCTGAGCGGGCGTACGATTCGTGGCACGTCTTGGTGATCTGGGCTGCGAGCTCTCGGTAGTGGGCCCTCTTTTCTTCCTTGGCATCCTCAGCGCCGAGGGCGATCATGCCCCCGGAGAAACAGGCCAGGTGCCCCATCTTGTGGTCCAGAATCCCCCCTCGCCACTCAGCAATGTAGGTCAGCCCCCCGGGAGAGACATTCAGCAAGTGGGTCTCTATTGCCTGGGAGCAAGGTGGGAATTGGGCGGGGAGGGAGGGCATGGGAGGGTACAGAGAAGGGAAGGGAGAGGACGGAAAATGAACATTTTGGAGACGGCAGCAAGTGCAGCTCTGTCGAGCCCTCCATCCCAGACAAAGGAGGCCTGCTGACCTTGGCTGGGGGCGGTCCCTGATGGGGCTGGTGGGAGGTTCTGCCACTCACCCAGCTGAGGCCTGGTGCTTGCTGGGGGGCTTGGACACAAGGCAGCTCCCCAGGGCCAGTCTCTTACACAGACTTTTAAAACTTCTACATTCAAAAAATTTTGGGGGGCTTCCCTGGTGGTGCAGTGGTTGAGAATCCGCCTGCCGATGCAGGTCACACGGGTTCGTGCCCCGGTCCGGGAAGATCCCACATGCCGTGGAGCGGCTGGGCCCGTGAGCCATGGCCGCTGAGCCTGTGCGTCTGGAGCCTGTGCTCCGCAACGGGAGAGGCCACAACAGTGAGAGGCCCGCGTACCGCCAAAAAAAAAAGTTTTGGAAAAAATATCTTTAAAAATTATTATCAATCTCCATCATATCCTCTGTTAGGGAATCTTAACCTGAAGCCCAGTTGGCCTGTGGATGGGCTGGAAGGGGTCCAGAGTGCCCCTAAAATTGTATGTGACACTTTAGGGCATTTTCATGGGAAGAGGGTCCGTAATATTTGATCAGATTCTCAAAAAGGACCACAGACAATAACAGCTGCTCTCTACAGACCCTTACCACAGGCTTCCTCATGTAATGCTCACAAAAAGCCAGGCACATGGGCTGTAGTGCCCTCTCTAGACACAGGGGGTGTTGAGTGGCGTGTCCCAGGTCACCCACCACACCACGGTCAGGACAAGGACCCCCAGATGCCCAAGCCCGCCTCCTTCCATTACCCAATGGCTGCTCCTTTTGGTGGCAAGGGGCTTTCAGAGCCCTCCCCTGGTCCCCCAAGAGGTGATGCTGTTGGGAAAGACTCCCAGGATGTTGGGGGGTATAGGTGTCAGGCCATCGCGCCCCTGACTGCCTGCCATTAGTCCCTTGGGAGCCGTGGAGACTGAGGTGATGGCGGCAGCCACCCACACAGCTGCAAGGCTGGACTCGATGGGTCCTAATCCAGGGCGGAGCCTCTGGGGCCCTGGCCAGGCCTCTGCCTCCACTCTTGCCCTCCCGTCTATCCTCTGGGGTGGGCGGGCGGTGGGGTGCACTCTGTACGTAGTGGACCTGACTGCGTCTTGGGTCTGTTTAATGCTCTCCCATGGTTTCCAAGTGCCCTCAGACGAAAGTCCAGCAGGGCCTCCGAGACTCCCTGATGTACACCCTGAGGTTTAACCTGATGCCACGGACATGGCTCCTGGGTGTAGACTCTGGTTCAAACCCCACCTCCACCAGTTCCGAGCTGTGTGACATTGCGCAGGTTCTGTGTTCTCTCTGTGCCTCAATTTCCTCATGTATAATATGGGGCTGAGAGCATGAACCACTTCACAGGGTTGTGAGGATTCAGCGGGATGCGTCTGCAGAGCTGAGCATATATTTCTTCGCACAGAGAGGCCTCAGTAAGTGCTGGCTATTATGAGTCCTCTCCAGTCTGCCCCCGCCCCCGTCCCCGCTCCAGCCACGCCGCAGGCCTCGGTTCATTCCTGTGCCCCCTCCCCCAGTGAACATTTCGTGAGCGCCTCTCGGTGCCAGCACTGTGCTCCGTGCAGGGAATACAGCCCTGAAGACGGGTCTGGACCTGGACTCAGCGAGCTCACCCATGGGCACAGAGACGTCCCAACAAAAGCAAATACACCCGAGAATCCCAATTTGTGATCAACATTCTGAACGAAACAAATTAAGGGGATGAGGCAGAAAAAAGCTCGGGGAGGAGGTCCTACTTTGCGGAGTGAGGCCAGAGAAGGTCTCTGCGCTGGTGGCCTCCACGAAGACCTTTTCTTCCTGCCTCGGGGCTTTGCGGCAACTACTGCTTCTCCCCCAAAACCCCATCCCAGCTCTGCTACCTCTAGCTCTGCGTCTGAGCCCCTCCAGGATGCCTCTTCCTTGGTGAGAATACCCCAGAGTCTAAACCACTGTGGCCCCATTACGCTACTACCCTGTTATCTTTCTACGAGGTGCCGTTCCCACCTGTGTGCGCCTATGTGTATACATTTCTGTGGAACGTCTGACTTTGTCCCAGGACTCTGAGTGCCAGGTGACGGCAGAAGCCACCACTACCATCCTCCAGCCAGTGCCTGGCATGTGGGAGGTGCTCAAACAACATTCGTTTCTCGATCTGTCTTGTCCTTTGCCCTCTGCTGTAAGGCCCAGGCCGGTGGGCTGCCTGCAGAACCCTCACTGAGCAGCAGATGGGGAAGCTCTGATGAAGAGACTGGCGCGCCAGGGCACCTGCTCCCTGTGGGGAGGAGCACGGAGGCAGCCTGGAGGGCTGCCGCGTCTGGGCCGGGCCCTGGCTCCTGGGCAGAGCTGGGTCCACAGTAGCTGCTCGGCGTCGCTAAGGGTGCTGGTGCGGGAGGGGTGGCAGGGCTAGTCCCGGGCACAGAAACCTGGTTCATTTATCACTGCCAGCACTGGGGAGAGGACACAGACATCCGGGGAGATCCCAGGAAGCTTCAAACTGTAGCTGGAAATCTGTACCTTCAAGACTGTCTCCCACTAGTTATTTCTATTTGGGGTTAACCCCAAGCTAAGTAGGTGTGGTAAAGAGGAAATGGTAGGCCAGTCTCTCTTTGAGGATATAATTTAGACAAGCAAATGCAAAGGTAAAAAACAAAAGCCCCAAGCCTTTCTAAAACCCTTAGCAAAACACAAGATAGCACGGTCAGGCAACCGACTGGTAAAAAGGCTAAAATCATAGCAAGAGACATAGTAGAGAGCTGAGTTTGAATCCCAGCTCTGCAATTTGAGAGTTGGGTGACTTTGGGCAAGTTACTTCCCTTTGCTGAAGACTCCCTTTCCTCAACTGTAAAATCGGAATAATAATTCCTGGGATGGTTATGAAGCTACTCAAAGACGCTGGCTAAGCGCCTGGCACTGACGGTTCCTTCCTCTACCTCCTGGAGGGCACCCCATCTGCGCACTTCTGAGAGGGCCTTCAGGCCAGCCAGGCTCCCCTGCAATTTGGCAGCTGGTGAGTAGAGGCAGGGGCCCCGGATCCGGAGTCAGCGAGACCCGTGTTTGCGTCCTGGCTCTGCCATGTTGCTGGGTGACCTTGGGCCTTTCGGAGCCTCAGTTTCATCACCTGCAAGAAGGGGCTAACTAAGGCCAGGCGCCCAGCGCACCTGCCCGGAGGAGGCCACAGGGACGGAAGCTCCCTGTTCTTCTTGCGGACCCTCCTCCGTGACCCCGGGGTGTGCCCAGCTGATCTGTCTGAAGCCCTCACACCCACCCTAGCTGGACACTGGTCTAACCCACATACTGGAGCCCCCAGGGCAGCTTTCAAGGTTATTGCCGGGGCCCCAGCCCAGAGGTTCTGATGTCACCTTGTTGGGGTGCAGCCTGGGCATTGGGGTTTTACAGCTCCCCAGGTGATTTTTAACATGCCAACAAGGCTGACAACCACCAGAACATTCTTCAAAGCCCCAAACTCGCCAGAGGCCCAGCCTTTACCCAGGGTCAGAGACATTTCAGGCTCTTCACTGGGGAGATAAAATGTGGGAGCAAAGCTGAGTTCTAGCCTGTTCGATCGAGTACTTCTATAAAACTCCCTGTTTGCTTAAATAATTTGTGGCCATTTCTTCCCTTGAAGCCTCAACTATAGTGTTCCCTGAGGGCTGGGAACTGGGCTGCTCGTGGACTTTATGTTTACTCTGCAAGGAAGGCAGAAAGGGCAGAAGGGGCCTCTCCAGGCACACCTGGCCACCGCTGAACCTGACCGCTAATCCTTGACAGGAGCCGCAGACTGCAGTGGAAGCTCAGCTCAGAAGCCTGGAGTGGACGGGGCTGAGCCAGACTGAGCTGGGACAGGAATCCTGGGACCTGCTTCATGACTCAGGTCTTGGTGCCAGGGAGCTGGGCAGGGAAAACTCATCACTGAGCCCACAGTTTAAAGGACCCACGGCTCTGGAGGCCTGTTCCAATGTGCCTCCTTTAAGGACTACCATTCCTGGCCGGATTCATGCGATCAGAGTGTAGCTAGGTATCATTCATCCATCCAGTCTGCTGCCCACACCCATCCATCCACCCATATCTACCCACCCATCCACCCATATCCACCTACCCATCCATCCTCCCACCCACCCATCCATCCATTCAATCATCCATGTGTTCACCCACCCACTCATCTTTCCTTCCCCTCTCCCTCCCTCCCTCCCTTCCTTCCTGCCTTCCCCTCATCCATTTATTTGTTCACAAAATAGTGACTGTATGCCTCCCAGGTACCAAGCACTGTTTTGGGAGTGAAGTATACAGTGAATGAGTAGACAAAATCCTTGCTCTAGACAGCTCAGGAAGATAGACAATAAACAAGTAAACAAATACACACATGTGATCATTTTAGATGCTGATAAAGGTGAAGATGACTGATAATAATAAGCCTCAGGTACGTGGAGAGAGAGAAGCTGGGGAAGGCTAATTCAGTGGCATCTGAGTTGACCAATAAGCAGGACCCAGCCACCTGGATGATACTCCAGGTAGAAGGAAAGCAGGTACAAAAGCCCTGAGGTGGGAACGAGTCTGGTGTATCTGAGGAAGGTTGGGAACGAGAGCTCAGAGTGACTGGCAGTCCCAGATCGGGGACTGCGGGCAAAGGTGAGGAGTCTGGTTTATTCCGAGCGCTAACGGAGTCGCGAGCGGAGGGACGTGCACTTACAGCTACTCTGGCTGCTGCGGAAGAACTGACTTACAGTGGGGAGGGGTGGAGCGAGGAATCCAGTTAGCTTAGACCACGGCGGCAGCAGAATAGATCCAACCTGCTCAACGTACTTGATGAGGAAACTGAGGCCCGGAGCCTGCCCAGTGCCTTTTCTTTAGTTGGGCTCAAAGGTATCTATCGATGGGGCTGCTGGGATTCTAACCGACTCCCCCTCTGTCCTACAGTCTCTGCCTCTTTGGAGGGACCCATCTGAGCTTAGCATCCCTGTTCACTCCATGCCCTGTAGACAGACCAGCAGAGCTGAGGGACAGCGGGGAGAACCTGGCGGCTGGCTCTGGAGACCTGGCTCTAGCTCCAGCTCTGCCAGTTCTGTGCTGTGTGGCTTTGAGCAAGTGCCTTCCCCTCACTGGGCCTTGGTTTCCATCCACATAAAGAGAAGGAAGAGAAGTGGATGCTCCACTGAGGGAGGCCCCTCCCAGCCGGGATGTGCTAAGTATGTCACCTGTGGTTCCACAGGAAGATGGCCGAGGGTCTTGCTTTGGCAGCCTCACTTGGGGGCTCCTAGTCTGGCTGTGTTCTGGGCTCTGACACATCAACAGAAACACAGACACCGTGGTTTCTGAATCAGACTGCCTGCTGCTTCCTGTGAGACCTCGGACAAATGACTTCACCTCCTTGAGCTTGGGTTTTGCATTTGTGAAATGAGGATGCTCACACGGCCCTAATTTCAAGGTGTTTGAGAAGAGTCAAGCAACAGGCTGGGGAGGGGACTGTCTTGTCCTCCCTCTGGGAGGACAGTTCACCGTAGGGGTGTGGTGGGGAGCAAGCCCCCCGGCTCTCAGGAACCCACGTGGGAACTGGTGGCGAGTGACTGACCACCCGTGAAGAATCAGGCGCCCGTCTTACCTCCAAGGCTTCGTAGTACATATCTTTAGCCTCCATATCTGTCTTGGCCGACATCAGCCAGGATTTGATCAAATATTCGTAAAAACTGTCCCCGAGTCCTCCAACCGAGACATGGTCTGTGAGGGGAGAGAGGACAGGAACATTATCTCCACCTGCTGAGGCCGCCGCGACTCGGTGGGGAGCGAGCATTTAATCCGCAGCCTCGGAGCCCCCGACAGAAGGGGGGCTGGGAGGAAGGCATGGCCTGCGACCGGGGGAACCAGGGCCAGCTTGAGCACCATCGAGCACCATCGTCCCTCATGGAAATGCAGGGGCTCCTTCGGCTGCTATAAATCACGTCATCGTGTTGCTTTTGCAGGCGGAGGACGGGGCAGGACCTCTGGTTATTAACCGTAAATGGGTTGCATTTCTTGAAAAAGATAATCTGGTGGCAGGGAGTTCAGAGATTTTTATTACCTGGTGACAAACATGGTAATTAATGCTGGGCAGGTTCATAAAAGGCCACGGAAAGGAGCAATGAGAGGCTTAATTTAGTTGGTCAGAGCACAAAGCTGTTCTGGGAAAGCCAAGTTTAAATTTAGCAAATTGGGATAAGCGGGGTTCAAAGGAGCAGAGGGAAGGAAAACCGGGTTTGAGGACCCCTCCGTCCGCCCTGGTGGAGGAGGAACTCCAGGTGTGGCTGAACGGGCAGGTGTCTCCACCCAGGGCTACCCCAGGAGAGGGATGGCTGACAGAGGAGCACTTAATTACAGAAGCAAGACACGGCGATGCTTCACTCACAATTAACAACAGGGAAACATAAAGGAGTTTAATAGATAAAACAAGGAGAAAACTGCGGCTCCCTGTTAAGCGGCAAGACAGTGAGGAAGGGAAGGGGGTGGAGGAAGGCGGGGTGGGGGGACGGGAAGAGGATTTTCAGCTCCTCTGGAGAAAGGGGGGTTAGAAAAAGAGAGGGGAGGGAAAGTGGGTGGGGGGAGAGAGAAAGAAATAGAGAATACAGCAACAGCTACCCTTTATCGAGGGTCTGCTGTGGGCCGGGAGCTTTACTGTGTCATTTATAACAATCTCCCCAAGAACCCTGTAAGGTGAGCACTACGAGCCCCATTTCCCAGATGGGAAAACTGAGAGTGAGCCCCAATAGCTCGGCCAAAGCCAGCGAGCCGGTAGAGCTCTTACCATCTGCAGGCTCACACAGTCAACCAGAGAATGAAAGCAAAGATGCAGAGAGAAAGAAAGGGCAAGTGGGAAGAGGGAGGGTAAGATCAAAAATCAGAGGGTCAGACAGCTGGGAACCAGGAAAGGGGGCTGACAGGAGGCCCCCACAGTAAACAGGGGCCCCCTCCAGCCCCCTCCGTAAACAAACCCTGGCCCAGCAAGCGTTCAGGAACGGAAGGAGCACTAGTGAAAATGCGAACAGACCAGGTAAAGCCTGAGGCTTAGGGAGATGTGCGGGGGGGACCAGCGTGGGCTGGACTTTGTTACCTGAAAAGACGGAACCAGGACAGCGTCCCCCTTGCCCCTGTTCCCAGGGGGAGGACACAGCTGGGCAAGCCCAGAGGGAGGGCAGGGCTGTGCTAGGCCCGGGATGTGGATGGCGTGTCCACGGCCGGGGCACGAGGTCTGTGCAAGGCAGGGGTGGGGAGGCCGGAATTCAGACCGGGTCAGCCTGCACAGAAGGGGCCCCCGCTCATGGCACTCAGCCGGGGGCACGGGCACCTCCACGCTCGTCTCCTGGGCTTGCCTCCTCTCACGGTTCCTCTGCCACCCCAAACACCGCTAGCCCCCTGCCCACTCTGTCTCACTTGTGATGACCCCTCTGCCAGGAATACCCTTCCCTACCTTGTGTGGCTGACACCCCCTCACTGCTTCACCTCAGCTCGGAAGGGCTTTCTTCCGTGTCGCCATAACACTGAGGTCCCCGCAGGGTGATGTGAGGGAAATAAGGCACCTGCACCCTCTGGCCCAGCGCCCTCCTGCGGGAAGTGCTTGGTGCAGCCGTCCCACCGTCGCTAGGTGCGAGCCTTGCCCTCAGCTGCTCCCAGCGCTGTGTCATCGGTACCTGTTTGTGGGTCTACCTCCCCCGCTAGGCTGTGGGCTGTGTGGGGAGGGACCCTGTATGACTCGCATCTATGCCCAGTACCTGTGTGGCACACTGCAGACGCCCAGTAAGTCCTGAATGAGAGAAAGGCAGGCATGTGGGGGCTGTGCTCGGAAGAGCCTTGAACGTCAAAGCCAAAGAGACTGGACTTCACCATGTGATTGCAGAGTGTGTGTGAGGGACAAGGTCAAGGGCTTCACCTGGGAGGTGTGCACGGGAGACGGGAGCCAGGTCAGCAGGAGTTCCACAGGTGTTTGAGATAGGACACCCTCTTGGGGACATGTATATAGTCTCCTGGGGCCTCAGCTGCAGTGCACAGGTGGGGGGTGTCTTCCCCGCACCGAGGGGCATGTGGGGAGAAGTGCAGGAGTGGGAATTAGAGACGTGGATCCACCATTAGCTCAGGGCAAGCCAGAGCCCCTGGGCCTGTCTCCTGATCTGTAAAATGTAGAAGGGAGAGTTGGTGTGCGTGAGCAGAGATGGGTTCTGCTGCTTCCTGATCGTGTCAACAATGCTCCCACCACACTTGGCAGCAGGAGGCAGCCACCCTATACGCCTGGGAATCGCTGGCGGGAAAAGTGGCATGAAGCTGGGGGAGGTGGCCGGGGTGGAGCTGGCGGGCAGCTCACACTCCCACAGCCACGGGAGAGAACCTGGACTTGCCGCTTCCCTCCCACTGAGGAAAGCGTGGGACTCGGGCAGTGGACAAGGAGGACGAGCCACGCCAGGGGCCAAGCCAAAGGGCTGGCAGCTCTTCGAGCTCTCAGCGGCTCTGCTAGGACTGGTCTCTTCTGTGCCTGCTGGACCTATCCTGGCTGTGAAGTCCTAGCGGCAGGAGGGTCTCAGCCTCCCCGGCTACCCTGAAGCTGAACTTCAGGCAGGAGTGGGGAGCAGGCAGGAGCAGAGGTCTGGGACTGGGATGCAGCCCTCATTAGCCCTTTGTCTCTTTAAGCTGCAATTTCTCTGGTTGCAACGGGCTCTGCAGAGGATTCAAGGCGAGAAAAGAATGTGAACTGAGCTTATGCAAGTTGGGAATGTTATCGTTTGCTGGAAAATTACACAATCATCAAAAAACAAGAACAAAAACAAAAAAACCTAAAAAGACAAAAACAGACCAAAACACCCAAGGAAACCACAGAAAACCTGGGATGACCCCAGGCGCCAAAGCCAGGGGAGGAGGAAAGCAGGCACTCCGGTGATCAGGGCTTTCTTTATAACCTTCCCTCTGAAATTTGGCGGCCTGTGATTCATATTTTATTAATATGAGACAATTTTCCATATGTGACTGACTCTGCCCGGCCTTGCGACCCTAGGTGCAGCCTGAAAAGAAAATTATGCTTCTCAGCGGGGCAGGGGAAGAGGGGGGCGGCTCCCCTGTAATTTGCCAAGGTAGCTATTCAGACTGGGAAGCCACACCCCTCTCCTTCTTTTTATGGGTTTTGCTGCATTGTCCTGGAGCAGCTAAGGCAGGTAGCTGCTTAGTTTATCTCTTTACCCAGTCAGGCCTTGCAATTAAAGGCAGGAACGGTTATTGAACTGTCTCTTCCCACGGCCATAATCTGTAATTCAAACCTTCATTTTCTCCCAGCACTTTTGAATTTGGCAGTGTGTTTTGGTTAAAAGTACTTTGCATTTCTGGGCTTCCCTGGTGGCGCAGTGGTTGAGAGTCCGCCTGCCGATGCAGGGGACACGGGTTCGTGCCCCGGTCCGGCGAGATCCCACATGCCGCAGAGCGGCTGGGCCCAGTGAGCCATGGCCGCTGAGCCTGCGCGTCCGGAGCCTGTGCTCCGCGACGGGAGAGGCCGCAACAGTGAGAGGCCCGCGTACTGCAAAAACAAAACAAAACAAAACAAAAGAACTTTGCATTTCTGTAAGTGGTTTTTGCAGGAGCCTCCTTGGGAGTGAGGTCATCACCAAGGAAAACTCCCCCGTCGAACTTTCTGGGTCTCCTGGATGTGGATCACGGAGGCTCTGGGATGGAAGGACAGGCCTCTGCCGTTTCCTCACAGTATCCCTGCCGGCTGGCCAGCTGGCCCTCCAGGCCCTGCTTGCATACTTTTGGTGATGGGCGCTCATGACCATTTGGGACAACCCATGTCATCTTTGGAAGATGAACTGAAGTCTGTTTCCTGCAGCTTCTGACCATTGCTCCCACGCCCCTCCACGGTGCACAAAGAACACATCTCCAGCTATTCTCCCATTTTGCAGGAGAGGAAACCAAAGCTCCAAGGGATGAACTGAATTCCCCTCAGGCATGCAGTAATTAGACTCAGGTCTACTTTGTCGCTGAGCCCTTGCTAATGCCATAACAATTGGGGCTGGAGGCAGGGAAAGGGAGAGGGGTCCTTTTTTGGGTAGAGGCAGTGGAGGTAGGGGCTCTGGGCAAGTCTTGGGAAGCCCCTAGAGGCAGGGCCCATGGAACCTGCTGCCCCCAATTTGTGCTGACTGTGATCACACGACCAGGGCCTTGGACAGAAGGGCAAGGCAGAGCGGTGCTTCTCGATAGGGGTGCAATCCCGGGAGCTGGAAGGCTTTAACACTGCCCTGCCTGAGAGACCTTCAAATCCCACTGTTTCAGTGGGTGGAGCTGTGGGCTGTGAATGAGGCTCCACAGGTGACCCACAACTGTCTGGCTGAAAAAAAAAAAGCCTCTGAACATAAACAGCAGGAAATCCTAGGGCCAATTCTAACAGGTGTAAGATACCAGTGATGAACTCCTGATTTTTATATTGCTGTATAGTTAGGGTCTGCTTACACATTTTTTAAGAAATTAAAGTTGGAGGTAGGGAACCAGATGAAAGGGGCTGGGAGAGGATGCATGGCCTTTCTTAGAGCTGCTTTTGGAGTAAACTTCTGACGGGAGCACCCCTGCAAGTCTGGGGGAGGATGAAGGAGGCTTCGGTGGGCACTGTAAGAGACGGAAGGCTGGAGACAGCTAGCATGCGGGGGATGCACAGGGCAGGGCCTCACTAGCCAGCAGCCATCACATCCGTCACAACAGCAATGGCAACAGAAATGAACACTCCCCACGATGCCCCGAGGGTGGCAGGAGGGTGGTATCCAGGAGCTCCGAGCCAATGCCTTGCTGGTACGTGGCTCCAATAAGTGCATCGCTCCTCACTCAGCTGGGTGCCTCGCCCAGCCAGGCCGGGAAGCTGGGCAGGAATCCGCTGGAGGAGGGGCAGCGGCGCCCCTGTACTCACGTTGCATCCAGTTCCCGCTCACCGGGCTGAGGAAGTTGGGGTAGAGGCCGAAGGGCTTGTCAATATCCCTAAGGACCTTTCGGATGTTCCTGACCTGCCAAGAGATGGACACCAGGCACGTCTTCATTTTCTCCAAGAAGCCAGCCGAGTCCCAGCCCACTGAGGACTGAGGCAGCTGGTTCGGGTCCAGAGAGGAAACCATTCCGACGAGGCAGGAAGGGAGAGCTGCGTAACTAGCAGCCGGCTCCAACCCGGAGGTGTGAGTCGGTCCTGCCCCTGTGTTCAAGAGCGGGGTGCGGCCACAGTGGGGCCTGACCCTCCACCTCTGCGCTGACTGCTCTGCCCGGGGCCCTGCCAGTTGCCCCTCCCCCACCTCACCCCTTCCTCACTGCGTGTGGATTTTGGGGACGGGTCTTTTTAGGAGGGCGTTCGTATAAGTGACAGTAGCTCATTTGTAAGTGCTAGACAGAACTGTCTTTTTAACAGGTCAGAAACAGTTATATTGGCAATTTCACACGGTTCAGCTTGGTAACATGTTATGTTATCAGATACTGTGGGAACCGTTCCAGAGGGGAGGCCTGCGCCCCTCAACATCCCTGTACCCTAATAGGCATCTTGGGGTTTTATTAACAACAGCTACAACGCTACAACGCTGTCAACGTTTCTCAGTTGCTGTGAGCCAGACCCATTAGATACATTATCTCCAACCCTCATAACAACCTATACGGTATTATTATCTCAGTCTAACAGACGAGAAAGCCGGATGTCAGAGAGCGTCAGTCACTTGCCCATGGTCACGGGGTTTGTAAGTGGCAGAGCCAGGACATGAGTCAGGCCCCTCTGACCACAGGGAGCAGCCCCGGCTCCAACATGGATCAGGGCAGGGACCACGCAGCAGCGAGTAGCAGAGGCCACACCCGCTGGATCAGGAGGCTGGATCTGCAACCTTTTGGGCTACAAAGGGCACAATGCGGGATTCAGGAAGGCTTGATCCATCAGGGTCTGCTGTCTGGCGGTACATGAAATCCTCCCAGCACAGACTCTGCAGGACAGAAAGGCCCTCGGGGATGGAGCTGTAGCACGCTCGCAGATTTATCTACAAGGTAAGGAGCAGGGAAAGCAGCCTTTTAGCTGTCAGACCTTTCTTTCCGGGGGACAGCACTTTGCTTTGCCACATCAGATCTCATATCCATTTATGTTAACGGAGCCCATTATGGCGGACAGGAATGTGCTTGTACCTGAGTTATTCTCGACTGTCCTTGTGGTGAGCAGTGAAACGGGCTAAATTAGCTCCCCTGGAGGGTGCGGGCGCTTCTAGAATTTGGGCCAATTTGTTGACTGCCAATAATCGCCTCTGTGGGAGGCAATGACTGGCGGATGAAAGTAGCTGGAGAATGTAAATGTAAAGAGACACAGAGAGACAATGAGGTGGATGGACCCTTGAGAAAAATCCGGAAGCCTGCTCAACTGATCTGGTCTTGAAGAGCATGGGTTTCAGAGCCAGAAAGTCCTGGGTTTGAGTCTCAGCTTTATCACTTACCAGCTGGATGACCCAGGACAAGTGATTTAACTTCTCTGAGTCTCAGTTTCCTCCTCTGTAAAATGGGGATGACAGAAGATACACCTCATAGGGTTGCTGGGAAAATCAGAGCTACTATACGGTACCCAGCACATCATAGGTGCTCAGGCAGTGGTATCTCCAGACTAGCAGGGACTAGAGCAAGCTGCTCGTCTCACTCCGCTCTGAGCCGGCCGTGGTGTTCCTAGAGGGGTCTGGCTCAAGAGCAGTGGAAATAGGGAGGCTGGGGACAGGCAGGGCCTGGAGGCAGGAAAAAAGACCAGAGGAGAAGACCCATCGGAAGTGGGATTGAATTTGTTCCATGAGCTCTTGACGTGGGGTATCCCAGGGAGGCAGAGTCCTCTCAATATAAGGAAAAGCTTCTGGAGGGAGGTCTGACAACATGAGGGGCTGTTTGAGGCTGGTAGTGAGCCCCAGTGCAGAGGAAGCAATCAAGGGGTTGAAAGCTCTTCTTTGAGCTTCTCAAGAAAGCTCGGGTGGATTCCCACACTGAGCGAGCAGTGGTCCTAAACCTGGCATCAAAGAGCACATGGGGGCTTATTTCAAATGCAGACTCCTGGGCCTGGGGCGACACTCAGAAATCCGCTTCTTCACCAGCATGCTAGATGATGCTTTGGGGCTGCTTGGCTGACAAAAGACTGAGAGCCACTGGGTAGAGGTGTGACTCTGTGACCTCCCAGCTCCCTTGGTATTCCGAGAGACTAACATTTGGGGGGAAGAGAAGGCTTTGGGAGTGGGGGTCTCCTTCTTCCTGGAGGCCAGGGCTTCGTCTCCCTATAGGGGCAGGGCTCAGGAAGGGGCAAGCACCATCTGAGGGTGGTGTGTGTCCACTTCTCTTCCTCGGGTTGAGGGTTAGACCTACGGAGACACTTGCAGACAGTAGGACTGCCAAGGGCTGTGACACTGAGGAACCACATCCCTACATGTTGCATCCATGATCCAAAGCCCTTCTGGAGGGCTTCACAGGGGGGCAGGGATGGGCAGCTGTCAGGATGGACGAAGGCCTGGGTGCTAGCGCTCTGAGCCCCTTGTGGCCTTCGCCAGCCTGGTAACGACGAGAAGGAACAGAGGTGAGCCTCTGCTGTGGAATGAAATTGCTTTGCCAGCCTGCTGACAGCATGCGCTAGATGGGCATCTGGAAGGGGAAAGGCAGGCAGATCTCACTCGAAGAAGTTAAATTTCTCTGGAAAGGGGACTTTTGTGCCGGGTGGCCAATTCCTGCCAACGCAATCTGGTGCCTGGATTTCCGTTGTTGCACTTTCTCCGGATTTCACACGTGTGTGGTTGCCAGCAGGCGCACATGTACCAGGGAAAACCTTCTCGCTGGCAGCTATGTCTCTGCCGCGCCCTCTGTAGAATGCTGCTGACTTCCTGCACTCACCTTCCCTGGCGCCTGGCATCGGTTACGATTAGGCAACTATGTGCTATGCTGGCAGTGGCTGGAGGCCTTCGGGCTCCCCACACACCCTCCAGCTGGCCCACGGTCCATTTCCCCGTCACGGGCCGAGTGCCCACCCTTCGCTCTCCGTGTGGAGAAGAGGGAGCAGGGGAGAAGACTTGCCTTTTCTGCGAAGACCTGGTTGCCAGAGAGCTGGGTGAGGTGTAAGAACTCCAAGTGCAGGGATCCAAACTCTGCCAGGATGCTGCTGCCCCCTGCCATGGCCCAGCCCCAGCTCCTGTTGGAGCCGCTGAAAGACAGAAGCAGCCTCGGTCACCCTCTGCCAGCAGGGCTGGCTCCTCTGCCCCATTGCCAGGCACTGGACTAGGAGCTTCGCCGTGCAATCCCAGTTAACCCTCCCTGGGGGTCGGTACTATTCTTAGCCCCATTTAGCCGATAAGGACGCTGAGGCTGGTGAGAAACTTGCCGAAGGTCACCCAGGCCTGTCTGACAGGCAATATTCTTTGTTTCTATGGTCAAGCGGCTTCTGCAGGACGTGTAGGCTCCAGAAGAATATTAGCAGAGCTGCTTTGGTGGCCAAGACCTGGCACACACGTGATGCTAAATTTACAGGTGACACCGATAATGCTGTCAGGGGCCACAAAGACCACCCCCCCCCCCACAGAACACTATTTCTATCCACTTATCAATGGCTCATAATCATTGTTGCTGCTTGTGGAGGGTAAATGGTGCATGGCTGGGGTCCGAAGGGGGCAGATGAAGAGAGCAGGGATCCCATCTGGCCCCTCCCCCCCCTCAGCCAGTGCTGCTCACGGACACACAACGGCCCCTGGAACTTCGTGGAACCCACACCTGAAGGGCGGGTGGCCCTGCTAAGAGCACACACCTGGGGCTGCTGGACCCTGGGAGGTCCGAGGTCAGGAATGAAAGCAGCAGGGGCTCTCGGAGCAAAGGTCTCCTCACTCGCTGAGCATGTGCGTGTCTCACGAACACCTTAGATGGATCACCAGCGTGACCCTGCGACCCCGTCGGAGAAGGCTGTCAACTAACCGCTCCCTCCCCTTCCTTGAAAGTACTGGGTGCTTTCACGGAGGAAGAGTGCAGGGGCAGGGCCTCGGGTAATCCTCCCATATGCCCCTTTCACAGATGAGGAAAACAAGGCACAGGACAGTGAAATCACTGCCCGAGATCACACAGTAAATGGAACAGTGGGGACCCAAGGCTGCTCTGACGCCAGAGCTTGTCCCAGTCACTGTGCAGCTGCTGGCCTGTCGTCTCATTACATGATAAGAGGACAGGACGCTGCCTTTCCAGGAGCTGTCACTTAAAATCTCCCTGGGACCTGCAGCCAGGAGGCACAGGTTCGAGTCTGTTAGCAGCGAGGTCTTGGGCAAACCATTCCTTCCCGTGTACCTTAGTTTCTGTAACCGTCAGACTGAGGATAATGTGTCCCAGTCTCCGCTCCTAGGGCTTTGCGGGGATTGAGAGAGAAGAGGAAGATGCAGAATGGGGGTGGCCTTGGGTAAGCTGCTTCCTCTCCCTGATCTGAGCCCTCATGTGTATCATGATGCTCTTTCCTGTGGGACATTTAGGACAACCAGGGAGACAAGGGTCAACCTCCCTCTGCAGGGAGGTTGCGGGGTGACAGTGGGTGGGCACAGAGTGGGGTGGAGTGAGCGCCCCCTATCCGTAGGGCCTCCAAGGTGCAGTCAGTGTGTGGCAGGCTGGGGGGCTGGCTCTGCCGGAGCCTCTGGAAGCCCCTCTGCTTCCTTGCTGTGGTAGCTCTGGCTCCCTGGGGACTGGCCTCTGTCATCCCTCTGTCTCCCAGGGACAGGACCTAGGAAGGCAGGCGTGGGTCTGGGAGGTCACAGTTTGCCAGCTGAGGGGCACCGCTTTATCTGGGGTGGGCTGGGGCTCCCCTAAGGCTGCTCTTCTCCTCTCTGATGTGGTTTCAGGAAAGTCAGGAAACTCTTCCAGCTTCCAGAAACAGATGGAATTGAGTCTTAGGATCTTCTGGAGCAGGTGATCTCAGTAAACATCCCTGCTTCCTTGGGTATTTTCCTGACTTGGGGGCAGGTGGGGAGGGATGGGTTGCACAGAGAGGGGAAACTTGGCTCCTAGATAGTAAATCAAACAGCTTCCAGATGCAGGCACTGGGGCAGGCGTTTGCATCATGACCTCATTTAAAGCCCACAAGGCAAAGCATCGTTAAACCCTGAGGAAATAGGCTCAGAAAGGGAAGTGAGTTGCTTTCAGAAGCTCAGAGCTGGTAGGGGGTGGAGGCAGGATTGAAACCTCAGAGGGCACTTCCCTAAGGGGTCCCCGAGATGGCCCCATATCCACCTCGAGGGAAGGGGAAGCTGACCCTTCTCTGCCCCTCTTCCCCCCCACGCCAAGAGACCTCTCTCTCCAGCCTGTGATCTCAGTGGGAGCTGCAGGTACCCACAGAGGGCTTCCTGAATAATTGATGCTTCCTGCCCTCGAAGAGAAATTCAAGGTAAAAAAAAAACCCCAGCCACCAGCCATCTTTTGTTCTCATTTTCCCCCACAGGAGCCTCTCCCCCCTCTCCCCTCCCTCTCAATGCTCACCCTCCCAAGTGGGCCTCCTGTGGTCGAGCCACCCTGGGCAGAGGCGGGCGGTAGGCCAGGCACCTTCTTCTCTCCTGCCTGGCTTCAAATGCTGGCTCCCCCAGTTCCCAGCTTAGGAGACCTCAGGAGGGTCAGTGAAGGGTCAGTGAATTCTTCTAGACCCCAGTCTCCTCGTCTGTTAAATGACAGTACCCACACCTCATAGGGCCATTGTGAGGTATAAATAATGCACAGGATGACTGTCATTGCTACCACTATGTAATGACGCACATCTAAATTATGTGTTGTTTGTTAGAGTTAAGTTCCTAATGTGCCAGGCAGCAGCGGTATCTTAGTTTACCTTCACATCTAACTTTAGAGGTAGATACCAAGATTCTTATTTCATAGGTTAGGATACTCAGACTCAGAGAGCGGAAGACACTTTTCCAAGGTCACACAGTAAGTGACGGTGCTGGTAGAGCTGATATCAAATCCAAATCCTAGGTACTTTGTGCCCCAAATGCATCTGTTCTGGGCAGCATCCAGAGACCAGGAGGTCTTCTGATCAGCCTCGTGAGGCAATGGGCTGATGGAAGCTCTGCCCTCTGCTCCCCTCCTTGCCTTTTAAGTCTCCAAGTGGACTCTCCCCTGGTGGGAGGGGCTGCTCCACAATGCCCCTCCCCAGCCTGGTGGGAGCTTCTACATGTGTGTGCCTGTGTGTGCACACATGTGTATGGTGAAATCGTTAACTCTGGAGCCAGACAGACCACGATCCTAATTCTAACTTTGCTTTGCTGCTGTGTGACCTGGGTAAGTTACCTCACCTCTCTGAGTCTGTTTCTTCACTGTTAAAATGGGGCCCACGTGGTTGTTGTGTGCTGAAAAGAGAGAACCCACGTCATTGTGCCTGGGACACAGCGAACATTCAAAAACGTGCACAATTATTACGATGTGTATGTAAGTGTGTAGCAGAAACGTGCACATGTAAACGCATCTTTGTGTGTGAATCTGTGCACATATATAGAGGTGGGAGAGTGCGTGTGACAAAGGTGAGCCTGCGTATCTGAGTCCTCATGATTTGGGTGAGTGGCAGTAGGGTGCATAGGTGTGTGTGAGGCTGGGTGTGTGAGAGAGCCAGTGAGATTGATTCAGCTGCAGAGGCCCTTGGACTGGCCACCTCCCCGCTCCCAGAGTTCAGTGGTCCTGCAGGTCACGGGTCATGGCTGGGCTGCCCCTGCCTCCGCCTCCCAGGCCTGCCACCAGGGAGGGGGAGCGGTCACACTCACTTGGGGACCACCTCCCTTCAGGGTCCTCCTCAACGGGCAGTTTGGGGACAGGGCCTAGTTACTGCCCCCCCCACTAGGGCCCATGTCCGAGCTGCTCACAGCCAGCCCTGCACTGACCAGGGGCAGCAGTGTGGACCCAGCTCCCACCAGCAGGCCCTCTCCAAAGGGAACACTCAGCGCCACGCGGGCTGTATACATCCCTGACGTTTTCCCTGGTGGAATGGGGAGGCATTTTTAGCAATAGACTCTCTTACCCAGAAAATGAGAGGGAGGTGTTGCCAGGAAATATGCATACACATACATATGTATACAGCACTGGCAGCATGCAAACAGCCTAAAAATAAACGCGCTTTCTTAATCAGAAATGTCAGGATCTGCGGGGGATCAGGTCCGGGCTCTGCAGGACACCGGTAAGGCAGGCAACCAGGGCTGCAGCTTCTGGGGCTTGCTTGGAGTCAGGGGGTGCCAATGCGTGGAGGAGGGAGGGGTGCCTGAGCTAAGTGAGGCCTGAGAAGCTGGACCCGGGACAGGGATCCAGAAAGACGGGGTGTTTGTGTCTTGGCTCCAAGACGTCTGGCCGTGTTTCTCCAAGATCAGTGTTGGTGGGAAAGGAATCTGAGCAGGGATCAAAGTGTCAGGGTCTGAGGAGTCAACCCTGGCACCGAGATGGGGGTTTGATGGGCCCTGAGGGCCCCTCCCTGGCCTGCAGTGAGATTTAAGTGACATCACACCCCAGGAATCCTTTCTGACCACAGAGATGAAGATGAAGAAGGTGAAGATGCTGAGCAGGCCGAGTCCTCCCTTCTTTGCAAGGCCCTAGAGGGTGTGACCTCCCCAGGAAGTAAGGGGGCCTTGGGCACTCCACCTGAGCCCAGGGCCCCTGCCTCCCCTCCCCTGTTGGACTGAGATCCCTGAGATAAGAAATCGCTTCAGGAGATGGAACAGAAAGTCCAGTGTGATGGACATATTACAGCCCTCCCCCCAGGCTCAGGTTGTAGGATGGTCTCAAGAATGGCCCCAGAGGGCTCCCTGGGTGCCTGGGGACCGGCACGTGCCTTCTACCAGGTCTCCAGGTCTGCTCCATGCGTCGCAAGGGGGTGGCGGGGCTCCTGCCTGAGGGAGGGCCAGGTGGGTATTGGGAGCAGAGCTTTTGATCTGTAACAAAATGGGTTAAAACCTGGCCCCATTGCCTGTGAGCTAGAAGACCTTGGGCAATGGGCGTAATATAAATACCCACCCTAAAGGCCTGCTGCGAGGAGAGTGCTCTGAGGCGTTGAGCGAAACCCTTAGCATGTGCCAGGTGCAGAGTGATCGCTCAATAAATGGTAAGGACAGCAGTCATCAGAGTCGGTCTCTCGTGCTGCACACACTGCCTCACGTGAACATTGGTTGAAGGAATGAATAAAGAAAGACGGGGACATGGATCCTGCCCTCAAAAGCTCCGGGGCCGATGGGGGAACGTGAAGACTGAGTGTGACAAGGGCCACAGGAAGCAGATAAAGTGCCTGGAGGCCAGGAGAGGCAAGGACACTTGTGGCTTCTGGAGAAGGTGGCATCTGAGCTGGGCTCTGATAGCGAGGGAAAGGGTGAGAAATGGCAGCCCAGGGGAGGAAGAGAGCGAGGGAAGGCAAGACCGTGGGGTGCACTGGGGTCTCCAGGAGCAAGATTCATGCTCCTCAGTGGATCCTAAAGCCGGCTGGCCACTATTCCCCTGACTTTGAGCCCGTCCTTTCCCCTCTGGGTCTCAGTGCCACATCTGGCTCCCACCCTCACAGAGGGAAGCAGCGGGGTAGGTAAGTCCCCGGGGGGCTTTGGAGCGGGACGGAGCTGCGGCCCGGGCCCCACCTGCTCTAGCTGTGTCACCCCGGGTCCCTTCTACTCTGGCTCTGTGACCTGGTGAAAGTCCAGAAAGACTCTAGTTCACACGCCGAATTACGCAACCTATCAGGAGGGGAAACGATGCAAGTGGCCAATAAAAACTAATGTTTTAAAACAGTCGGTAGAAAGAAACATACCAGTGGTTTCTTGACTAGTGGAGTCACAGGTGATTTTCTGGGTCTTATCCAACACTTCTGGTATAATCCACATTTTTTTTGCAATGAGGATTTATTTTTACAGGGAGGAATCACAATAAATATTATTGAAAATGGAGTTGGAAGTCCTGGGCTCATGTCCCGGATGGTCCGTTACTGGCTTATATGACCTCGGCCAGGGTTTTTCCTCCTCGGAATCTGAGCCTCCATGGGCTTGATGCTCCCAGAAGCCCCTCTGGGTTCTGACAGCCCCTCTGGGCTCCTGAGACCCAGCCCTGACAGGGGCTGAGGGGTCAGCAAACCAGGGTCCCTCTGCCCAGGGTCCTGACTCCCCAGCAGCTTTGGGTTCCTGCTTGTGGTGGGAGGTGTGATGTGCCTCCCAGCCCGGGATCCCAGCTGGGAAGGGAGGGCAGTTGGGGCACAGCGGCGGGGCTGTGAGTCACGGCAGTGTTACGAGATGATCACAGAGGAACGGCGGCCCCATCTCCATGCCAGAAAGATCAGGTCTTGCGTGGCCTAAACCCGAGAACCAGGTTTAGTGACCAATGCCAGCTCAGGAGAGCCCCTGGCTGAGGCTAGGTATCACTGTGCCACTGACCCCCGTGATTCCTGCGGTGGCATTCATCCCACCCTGTGTCTCAGTTTCCACGCAGATGCAGCCGAAGCCACAAGTGGGAAACCAGACGGCATCCTACCTTTTGAAGTTCACCACGCCTTTTGGGATTCCGGTGGGGGTTTCGAAGGCCGGCAGGAGTTTCTCCCCCAGCTTGATGGCCTTTATTCGGAACACCTGCAAGGAAGGGTCAAAGGGCACTGTGAATCCTGGCGGATAAACCTGCCAAGGCTGCTGGGCCCAGAGTGGGAGGTGCATTAGGCTCTGGGGTCAGTCAGGCCTGGATGTGAACCTGAGTCCATGAATTCCTGGCTCAATTTCCTCCCTCGTTTATAAATCCAGGGCAATATTGCCTTCCTCAGAGGGTTGCTGGAGGAATGAAAATTAGATAATAGTTGTAAAGCCCTTACTGCAGGGCCAGGACTAGGACGAAGGCTCAGTGATTATGCTGTGCTGGGAACACAGAGAGGTCAGGGCAGCGGGTCACCAATGGTCAGTGCCTGCCTGCACGGCGGGGCCAGTGCACCCCAAGCTGAGTGCGTGAGAAACACATTCGGATAGAGTGTAACGAGCACAGGATGGGGAGCTCCCGGCCTTGCTTCCCAGCCTGGCTTCCGTTTGCTTCCCAGCAAACCTCTACCTTCACACCTGTAAACCCAGGGGAAGGGCCTTTCCTCGCTGACATTCGGATTCTGCCCATTGTCCCTATCTTACAGCGGCAAAGGTGAATGGCTAAACCGGTGATGTGATGGTTGGGGAGCCACAGGGAGGTCCCAGGTGTCAGGGCCCTTGCACGAGGCTCTAAGCCCCTCAAACTCTTCTTCTGGTTAATTCAAAAGCACCTGTGACCTTCTGGCTCCCAGGAATTTATTCTAAGGGAATAAATCATCAAGGATGTTGCAAAGACTTAACTTTATGGCTATTTATTCCAGTGTTGTTTAGAATAGTATAGAAAAACTGGAAATACTCTAAATATCAAGCCACAGGGAAGTGGTGAAATGGTGGCTTATCCACACAATGGAATACCATGCAGCCACTGAAGTGATGTTGGAGAAGTTTATTTCATAGCAAAAAACGGTTTATAATCTATTAAGAGAAAAAATTTCACAATGGTGTAATTCAACTTTTGTAAAAATTATATACAAATGGATACCTGAGGAAAGGTTGGGAAGACACTGAACTATTAACCACGGTCTTCTCAGAGGACTAGGCTCGTGGGGGATTTTTATTTTCTTCTTTTGGCTTAACTCTATTTTCTGTGCTATTCTTACAATTAAAGCAAACCCACAGGGCTTCCCTGGTGGCGCAGTGGTTGAGAGTCCGCCTGCCGATGCAGGGGACAAGGGTTCGTGCCCCGGTCTGGGAGGATCCCACATGCCGCGGAGCGGCTGGGCCCGTGAGCCATGGCCGCTGAGCCTGCATGTCCGGAGCCTGTGCTCCGCAACAGGAGAGGCCACAACAGTGAGAGGCCCACGTACCGCAAAAAAGGAAAAAAAAAAAAAAAAGCAAACCCGCAGTAACATTATTTATTTTTGAAAAGCTGAGAAGCAAGTCCCTAAGCAACCACTCCTGATGGGACAACAAGCATTTCCTTTCACTTCTGGGGCTCCAGGGAGACTCAGTGTGCTGACTGCCTGCGTGTTGTTGCAAAATGAAGCCTTCTTGAGGTCTCTCCTTCTAACATGTGCAATTTAAAGGTTCTGAGGCAGCCGTTTGGGGACCGCAGTGGGGAGGAGTTTGTGAACACTACCTGGGCTGTGGATTAGAGGCCTCTGTGGGGCGGGTGTAGTTCTTGTTTAGGAAGGAGGGAGGGTGGGAGGGAGAGGGAAGAATTGCACCTGGGGCCTGGTAGTGATGGGTGACAGAAGATGATAACGTCCAGTGTGACAGTGGGTCCTAGAAGTGGGCACTGGGGCAGCCACAGCAGAATCCTGAGGGAGCTTGTCTAGAATTCAAATTCCAAAGCCTCGAGTCACCCCAGAAGCCACTGGTTTAGCAACAACAAGGGGTTCTCGTTTGAAGGTCCTGATCTCTTCATCTGCCCCCCGGGGAGGCTGAGCACAGAGGCACGAAGGAACGCAGGAACCCACGGGAACCTGACCCAAGGCTGGGGCTCCAGGCTGCCCTCTGCCTGAGGACGCCAAGCTAACGCCTCTGAAATGCTCCTCTCTGCCAGCAAACCACGTCTCCTTCTTTGGAAGGCCCTGATGCAGGCTGGCATGGCAGAGCCTCAACCATCCGAGGGAGGATGCTGCAGGTGTGACTGGACAGGAGTGGTACCATGCGGAACAGAATACCTGTCCTCCTTATCATTTGGAAATGATGTGTCTTATCTACGTCACTTTTGATCCTTGCAACAGGCTTGTGGGGAAGGTGTTGACCCACTTTGAGGAAAACAAAACTGAGTCTCAGAGAAGCAAGTTGTCCAAAGTTATGGAGCTATTAAGTGGCTCTTTTCCAGGACACCAAGCCACCTCACCAACACAGAGAGAGATGGCCTCAGACAGCCATGGCACGCAATGGGCGGTGGCCACCAGCAAAAATTACATCCTGAGAGTGGAAAGGGCTCTTGACTGGGAGTCAGAGCCCAGGTTCAGATCTCCCCACTTAGCAGCTGTGTGACCCTGCGTGAGCCAGGTACTGTCTCTGAGCCTCATCTGCACAAAGGAACAGTGACGTGTGCCCTGGCTTCTTCAAAAGGGTCTTCTAGAAATCAGATGAGAGGATGTACATAAATGAATATGCTATAAAAACTGTAAAGTGCTTTGCAAATGTCACCTGTGGTTGTTCCTGTTATTCTCGTGGAAGCGGAGTCTCTGTGGGACCCCCCACCTCCCGCCCTACCCAGCAGGGGATCCACCTCCTGCAGGTTCCCTCTGAAGCAAGAAAGGCCTCAGCCCAGGAAGGGGTGTGGGATCTCCTTCACCGTTCATTCCACAAACACCATGGGAAAGACCCACTCCACAGGCAACCCCTGTATGCGAGATGGAGGATGGAGAGAGGATGGAGGCCTCAGTCTGGTGTGGCCGAGTCCTGGTGATAAGCAGTGATGCTGGGCCAGGCCGAACAAGGTCTAGAACCCAGACCCACGGTGGAAAGACACAGGAGCCTGTGCGACCCGCACTGGCTCCCTTTCCTAAATCTCAGTCTCCGCAGCTGCATGTACGCCGGTCTCTGCGCGGGGAGGTTTTGGGCACGGAGGGGTCAGGGAGGCGTGGCTGGAGGACAGGGCTGCGCCCATAACCCGGAAGCCTGCCTGCCCAGGGGTTCTGAGCCACTCGGGCTCCCCTTGGGCCTTCTGGACACAGGTACTCCTACCACACCCCACTGCCTGGTCTGCCCCCCAGAAATCGCTGGCCCCACACCCACCCCTGTGAGCCCTGAGCTGCACGGCTCCACCCCCATCCTGGACGGGAGGCTGGGCGGTGCCCGTGCAGAGCATGGCGCCTTTTTCTGCTCCACATCATTTTCCTGTCCTGGGGTTTTCAAATGAAATTCAGGCCTTGGGTGGCGCGGAGGTTTCCCATGGACAATCTTTTGGGGACAAATTGGTACAAGCGGTAATCTCTGCTGAGGAGATTAGGCTTGATGGAGAGGGGCCCCGAGCGGCCGGAGAGATCAAGTGCTCGCCGCCCGCTGCCTCCGCCCGCGTGGCCTCCGCCCGCCCGCGCCACTTGCTGGAAGGGAAGCGGCAGGGCTTTCTCTGACAGCAGCGGCAGAGGCTCCCCACCAGCAGGGGGCAGGATAATTATGTCTCCAAGCGGACAGAGCTGCGGCTGTGCCGAGCAGTGCAGCCGCTCTGCGTAGGGGCCACACAACTGACGGGTGCCCCATGCGCTGGGGATTCTGCCAGCCTCCCCCCAGATCCTCAGGCTGTGCTTTCCCAGGCGCTCACAAGGGATGAAGTCTCCCATTTCTGTGTTCTCAGGATTCCTTGCAGTGCAGAGAACATGGGCTTTGGAGCCCTTCAGCCCTGGGGCCAAACCCTTTCCCACTCGTCCCATTTCACAAGAGCTCTCTGACCCCTGGGGGTTAGGACCACCCCACTGTGGGGAAGGTATGAGGTCTAGGGGCGGGAGAAGGGACTTGCTCAAGGCCACAGGCAGGTGCCGCGTAGGGATGAGACGCAGGTTTTCTGACTCTGTGCCCAGGGCTCTGCATTCTCGCCGCCCTTCACGGCCCTCCTTCTGGAAGCCAACGCGGTTCGCCTGGGCTGAGTGGCCGGCAGTGGCTGCCCACCTCCCCGGTCGCCCCCTTGAGACCTGGAGCTGGAGTTTGGCTGGTGTCTGGCCCGGGAGCAGAGGGCAAGGGGATGGCTGTGGAGCAGGCCAAGGCCAAAGGGCTCGAGGAGGAAATGGTGAAACAACGGTCTTGGCTTTATCAGTCCTGAGAACCAACATGTGGGAAAACCAGTCCAGCAGCAGCACAAGCCTGGATGGAGCACAGATATCGCAGGTGCCCTATGGGGAGCTGTGAGGATGGTGGGCAGCCCCAACTGCTGCCCTTGGAGAATTTACTAGCAACTGGGCAGCAAAATTGAAGGAAGAATCTGTGGGTGGCACCATGGAGATGGGATTCAGATCCCCTCGAATCCCTGTTTCCTCATTGGTAAAATGAGGGGGTGGGATGTTCTCCTGAGCCCTTTCCAGCCTGGATGGTCCAGGGGCTCTGAAAGGCCAACTTACCTCCTCTCCCGTCAGGTAGAAGGCCGAGAGAAGTCCTCCGATGTACCGGATGTTCACTTCGAACAAGGATGCTTCTCCACTCTGCGGGGCAGAAAGACAGTGGGGGCAGTGGGGACATTTGTGAGACGCCCACAGGGCTTTCTGAGGCAGCCAGGCCCTTGAGACAGGTCACACCTGCCACTGCCCCTGCGCCACTGACCTGGCCACACCTGTGCGGGGCTCCAAGCCCTTGCCCAGCGGGCCAGGCTACCTTTCGTGGTGGTTTTCAGAGCAAAAGGTGAGAGGGATCAGCACCTGCCTGGCGGGCAGCTACTGAACATTTACAGAGTTCCAAATAAACACTGGGCTTGGCTTCCTTCCCCAGCCTTTGCTGGAGGCCATCGGAGCAAAGTTAGGCCTGGCTGCTCTCCAAGGAGCTCAGGAAGTTGTGTGGGGAGCTGCTGGCTGAAGCTTAGCCTGAGGAGAGGCAAATCCTCCTCCTGTCCGGCCCCCTCCACCCCGAGAGAGCCCCCTGGCTTAGCAGGAGGACGGTGTGGTCCTTCTTTGGGGTGACAGGGCAAGTGGAAGGTTCTCCCAGGAGGTTCTGAGGCAGAAAGGAGGGGGGTGCCAGGCAGATTCTAGTAGGCAACCAGCACTTTCTCAGCCTCAGCCCTGTAGCCCTCAGGGCACACCCACACTTGCCTTAATCACTGTTGTTTTCTTTCTGAAGTGTGGACTGCAAAGCAGAGGTACTGAGGCATCATGCCGAGGACCAGATCTGGGTTAAAATCCCACCTGAGTCACTCACTTGGCTTTCGAACTTCGGGCAAGATATTTAGCTTTTCCCTGCCTGAGTTTCTTCATCCCGAGCAGGGTGGATATGAGATCCTGAGTGGGGCAGGTGAGATGCCTGCCCAGTGCCTTCCCAGTGCTGGGCATGGCTTCATAAAGGTGCCTGTTATAAACCCCCCGCCCCGCAAGGGCTCCCCTTGGCATACTTCCCACGTCACGGTCTTTTGTTACCGATGACAGCAGTGGTCATCTTTTTATCTGGGAGAGCTTTTCCATTAACAGAACACTTGCACAGCCAGTCTCTTTTGCCTTACAGTCCTTGGTGAAGGCATCATTCCCACTTTTCAGGTGAGAAAGCCCAGGCTCAGAGAGGTGGAGAGACCCCATCTTGCTTTGTTCCAGGGACACTCCCAATCTGTCCCAGCCTGTGTGAATGTCCCTAGGCTTGCCCAGCCCTGCCACCACCTGGCTCCTCAGGCAGCTGCCTGAGGCCCTCTCTCTACCCACCATCTGCGGAGGGGTCAAGGTGGGCTATGGAGACACTCCTTCCTTCTCCTGCCTCTGATACCGTAGGAAATGGGAGGATTCTGAACTTCCTCGCCTCACACAGACTAGAAGTCATAACAAGCCTCAAAGTCATCACAGTGATAATGGCACCGCTTTATCTGTATTGGACTTTATAGTGTCATAAAATGCTTTTTACAGCCCTCCGTGGTGGTCAGTCCTCACAAGCCTGTGAACTAGGCACTATCATTGTACCATCTTTCGGTTGGGAAAGTAAGGCCCAGGAAGGTTAAATGACTTTTCCCAGGCTGCGAGCTGAGCCAGAGGCTCTCCTGTAGCGTTGCCTTCCCGGACTTTCCCCACTTTGTCTCTCTGCCCTGCTCTGCTCTGACGTGGGCCTCTCCAGGAGCAGAGGCCTCCGTTCTGCCAGGAGCTGTCCCGGTTCATAGCAGGATCTGTCACTTGTGGAGCCCCAGATGGAGCCCGACGGTGTGTTTTGATGTGACCCTTCCCCCTACCCATCTGTCTCCATGTCTTGCTCCCCCAAACCACCTAAACAGCCTCTCCCTGTGGGGAGCTGAGACCTCCAGGATGGATCTGTTACTTTAGTCTGGGCTGAGAGATCAGTGGGAGAGGCATCTGGTATTTAAGGCTTTTGTACCATCCATATACATGTGCATCCCGGCCCCAAGGCCCTGGTCCCTGACCAGGGATGCCTGCAAGGGTAGAGACCAAGAGGGCCCCAAGCCTGGTCATGGCCTCAAGCCGGACAGCTCCCCCTGCCCCTCTCACTCTCAAGAGGGCAGCACGGGGGTGGATGGGGACCTCTAGGTTAGGGCAGCTCCAAACAGATAAACACTTCTCCCTTCCCAGAGTCGCTTCCCCTGTTGCTGCTGTTCTGACAGAGTCAGTCCCAGAAGGGGCTTCCTGGGTGGGAGCAATGTGCCTGGCACCCTAGGGAGGGCAAGAATGGCTGTCTTCCACCCCAGGGAGTTCCGGCTGGTAAATACTCATGGGCCGGCCAGGGCTGGGGGGACATCCCCCACCTCAAGGCTGGTCTGAGGAGAGGGGCCTTGGCACAGGGTGCATGGAACCCTGCTTCCAAGAATGCTCTGCTGGGCAGCCTGGGAGGAGCAGGTCACTGACCTCTTGGGCCCCTTCTGGCTCTAATACCCCGGAGGTCTTTGACTCACCACGTTCAGGTGGAAGCTCTCTTCCACCCAGGCCTTGGCCTCCTGGAACTCCTCCTTCAGCTCCATGAGGTAGAGGGTGTCGAGGGAATCAATGACCGTTGCCCCACTGAGGCCTCCTGCAGGCACAGAGGATGGGTCAATCTCGTCCTTTCCACCCCAGTCACACAAGCCACCATTCCCCGGGCCTCCTCGAAATGCCTGGGCAGGCTCCCAGGCACGATCCAGGGAGACTCCAGGGCCACCAGCCTTTGAAGGCACGTCCAGGACCCAGAGTCCCTCCATGGGCTGCTTCTTCCTCAGGGCAGCAGAGAGAGTGTGGCGCGGGGGGGGGGGGGGGGGCGGCGGTTGGAGAGACTGAGTTCAAGGGATGAGCTGCTTCCCAGACCTTGGTCCACTCTTACGTCTGCCAGCAAGTCAACCATCAGGGCCAGCTGGGCGCCCACCACTTCTCTGTCATGCTGGGGGTGGCGGGTGGGCGGGTGAACCGGCATTTGGTCCACAAAATCTTAACAAATGTGCCAGTCCGCTGACGCTTCAATGCCATTCTTTATTTTATTCTAAGAACAAAAAGATGTTCATAAATATTTACCCAGGAAGGTATTTATTGCCGTGTCATATATAATGGGTAAAAGTTGGGAAAAAACCCTCCAAGGCCAATGATAGGAGAGTAGTTATACAAATTGTGGCTCATGTATAAAACAGGACACTGTGCAGACATTCACACAACTGAGAAAGACCTATGTTCGTTGGGGAGATACGCATGGGATCTGTTAAGGTAAAAAAAAGTAGATTGCAAAAAAAAAAAAAAAGCACAATATAATTTCTTTACTGTTTGCCAATGTGGATGAGCCTGAACAGAATCAAGTCTGGCAGGAAGTGATTCAGTGGTTATTGCTGAGTGCTGGGATTACAGGTGCTTTTTGATTTCTTCAGCTCATGGATTTTTTTTTTTTTTTTTTTTTGCGGTACGTGGGCCTCTCACTGTTGTGGCCTCTCCCGTTGTGGAGCACAGGCTCCGGATGCGCAGGCTCAGCGGCCATGGCTCACGGGCCTAGCCGCTCTGCAGCACGTGGGATCTTCCCGGACCGGGGCACAAACCCGTGTCCGCTGCATCGGCAGGCGGACTCTCAACCACTGCGCCACCAGGGAAGCCCCATGGATTATTTTTATAACCAGAAATTTATTTCTGTTTAAAAAAAAAAAAGGAAAGACAGTTTGGACAAAGAAACTAAACAAATGCACAAACCAAAGATTCCGCGGCCACTCTTGCTCTAGGCCAGTGGGTACACAAAGCGTGAGCTTTGAGGCCTGGCCCCTGCCACTGGGGCCTTAGACTCTTGTCCTGGGAGTAAAGGCTGAGAAAACTGTGCAGTTTTCCACATCACAGACTGGACAGCAGAGCGATGAGGAAGAACCTCCCACATGGGACAACCAGAGCCTGCCTTCTAGAGGATGGTAAAGGAAGAAATGAGGGAGAAAGAGATGTGCCTGGGGCCATCTGGGGGGCTTCCTGGAAGAGATGGTGGCCTCCCATCAACTCCTTACAACTTTAGTCATTGCAGGCAGCAGCAGTTTCCTTTCGGGACTAGAGGGTAACTTCAGAGGAGTAATTGTTCCTTCCATGTCCTCCTTGCAGAGGCTCAAAGCACTGAGACTCACAGTCTCCACCTTCCCCCAGCGGACACTAGAGCTCCCTGACAGGTGCTGAGCCCCACTTGAGTCTGAAGTACGGCTTTGCGGGCACTCCTGCATTCAGAGCTAGCGTCTAATCTCCTTAATTAGTGCTTCCTTAACTGCTCACTTGTGTTGACTTCGCAGGCAGAGAATCCTTGTGAAACTCAAACACTTAACCACCTCTCTAGGCTGGGCAAGGTCAGATAAAGGGCACGGCTTGGAAAAGGATGGGAGGGAGATCCGGGAGAAGTTGAGAAAAAGTTAAGTCTGGAGGTTAAAGACACATTTCCAGAAGGGAGGGTTTGCAAGGAAGAGTGGAGGAAGGGGAGGGCTGGGGGATGCAGGCGTTTCCCAATCCAGAGACATGTGTCCTGGGACGGCTTTGGCTTTTGAGTTGAAGTGAATTTCCAGAATGTCAACCCCTCCTACACTTAAGGATTAGTAGGAAAACACTCAAAGCCAAACCAAGTTGGTCTTTTTCTGGTTTATCCTGGCTGCTTCCCCTGTAGGTGTCCAAGGCTGAGCACGGTTCGTGGCAACTCTTTACCCTCCTGAGGTGCTCAGGCCTTGGGACCCAGATGGACCACACATGACCAGAGAGGGACTGAGACATGCCCAGGCCAAAGGGCACAGGTCTGGGGTCCACACTCCTGGCTCTGATGCCAGGGTCCCTCCCTGTTAACCACAGGGCTTCACACCTGACTTCTTAAGGCCCTGGAGGGATTTTTGAGATGCGGCTGCCTCACCCCTAGATTTCATAGATGAGGACCCCAGAGAGGTCCCGCCCAAGATTAGCCCAAGGGAGGAATGGAGCCCCAGGCCGGGCCACGTGTAGTGTGTTTTCCACAAGAGGGCCTCTCAATTTCCTGGGAAAACAATTTCGGATCTGCTTGCTAAGTCCCCCTCCCCTGCGGGGGCAGGAGGCTGCTCTGACGCGTGAAGAGAAGAGAAGCCCAAGCTGTGTGTCCTTCAAGGTCAAGGGAGAGGCGGCCCAGAGTACCCGATTTCTGGATCCTGCCCCGGGCTGCCTGGTGTTTTCACCCCACAGGCCCTCCGTCTCCTGGGCCAACCCTGAGTCCCGAGGCCCCAGGGCCTTGGCTGGGCTGGGAGGGCAGCCAGGGCTCCTCGTGACCAGCTGTCCTTCCCGAACACTCCCGAGGCAGCCGGCTGAGGAGGCAACTCGCTAAAAGATTTGTTGGCAAGGTTCTGCCCCTGCTCTCGGGTGTCCAAGTCCTCCTGCCTCTCCGCTCCCACCTACCACACAGCTGGGCTGCAGGCCAGCAAGGCACTTACTGGAAAGCTTTCCGTTTCAGGCCAGAGGTTACCTGGCGGCCAGGCCGGGCAGGAGAGAAGGCCCTATCCCGAATTCAACTCTATCTGCACCCACAGCCGACCTGGGGCAGCTCCCCAGGGAAAAAGACAGCCGCCTATTCAGTCAGCAGGCCCACAACTTGTATGTAAAGAGCCAGTGGGGCACAAAGAGTCAGGTGGCCAGCTTGGAAGCTTCCCTGGGCCTGGGCGGCCCACTCTCCTGGGTGGCCCACCCTCCCGGCTCTAGCTCTGAACTGTTGCTGTTCACAAAGGCCCCTGCTGGCTCCCCTTCCTGTGTTCTTCTGTTAAAAGAACACAGCTCTGGGTTCACATCCCAGCCTGGGCCAGCAACCCATCTGCTCTAAGTGTCAAAGTTCTCATCTGTAAAATGAGGTGAAGGCCACTGGGCTGGGGTACTGAGGAGCCGCTGAAGGTTCCTGAGCTGGGACAAAGGTATCATATACTGCCCAGCCTAAAGACACCTGATAAAGACATCTGTACATGCCTGGCACGGTGTAAGTGCTTGACAAATCAGTTCATTGTTCTTATTTCTGGGGTCCCTTAGCTCACCTTGAAACACTGGCCTGGCCAGGGAGATGTGGGTTCAAATCCTGGCTCCACTATGTATTAGCTATGTGCAGGGCAAGTCACCGTACCTCACTGAGCCTCATTTTTCTCATCTGAAAAAATGGAGATTACAGTAGGACCAACCTCGTAAGGCTGCTGGGAGGGTTAAGTGGGGGGGTGGATGGAAAGGAGTTGGCATGACGTTGGGTACACATGAGCTGGTCCCCACAAACAGAAGTGTGGCCCTCCTTGTCCCCAGCTGGCCCTGGGCAGCCCCGCCACAAAGTCTTCTGGGGTCACTGAGGCCTTGTGACACTCCTGTATTACTGGCCTCTCACCACCCTGTTGGGCAGTGCAGGCACAAGACGCGGCTTGCGAGAGCCTTGACCCAACTTAAAGGAAAAGTGTCATATGGGTCCCACCTGTGTCTGCTGCTTCCCACCCCTGACCTGGGTGTACACCTGTTTCCAAAAGGGTCTACCTACCTCCTGGACCCCTTCCTTCCCCTCTGATTCACCCTGTATCTTGTCACCTGATCTGTCTCGCGAAAACCAGATCCACTGTGTCCATCCCCAGCTCAGGAACCTGCAGTGGCTTCACAGTACAACCATACAATAAAGAGTTGTGCGTGTGTGCGTGTGTGTGCGCGCGCGCGTAAAGTCTTTTGGGTCTGAATCCAAAGGATCTGGCTAATATCTCGCATCAAGCTCTGCTTCCTGGACACAGGCTGCATCCTCTGGCCTTCCTACCTTTGCATGTGTGGTCTCTTCTGACAAGAGGCACAGAAATGTGCCTCTGGGCAAAGCCTACACCTTCTTCAAGGTCACCTCCCACTGGCAGCCTTCCCTGATTGCACCCAGACAACCTCCTCCCGCCCAGAGAGCTCCCGAAGCACTTTCTTAGGCTTCTGACTCAGGCACCCTCCATTCCTGCCCTGCACTGTGGGGCTCTGTCTCGCCCCCTAACTAGACCATGAGATCCTTGAGGCTCATGCTTCTCTCACACCCCTTCCCTGCCTTGTCTCCAAGCAGCCCCAAAGGCCAGAGCTCCCAACCCTAATGGGCCCCTCCCTATTCCCTGCAGCTTCAGTACACTCCCCGACTTTTGTGACTCTTCTACAAACTTTGCTAGGAGTTGCCTTCCCCATTCCACCTGCTCATGAGGGGTCCAGAGCCTGCCCAGTGCCTCCTCACCCAGGAAGCCACTGTGATCCTCACCCCACAGCCTGCATGAAGTCTCACCCTCCCCGAGAAGTCTTCCCCAGCCCTTCAGGGTCCACCTTCCATGCCTGTACTCCGTGTACCCCCATCGCCACGACACGTGCTCCTTTCTCATCACTCTAAAGGGTTCGTCAATTTACTGCCCCGTCCTCCGAAATAGCAGGGGCGCAGTCTGCAGCAGAGTTGTCTCCACGCTCGAGAGACGGCTGCCAGTGGGGGTGGGCAGGCTGGAGGGCAGGAGACCAGCTGGCCCGTCTCGGGCACCTGCACCAACACCTTGGCACCCCGCTCACTGGATCTGCCTTCAGGATGCCGCTCTTCCTCGTGCTTCTCCTTTTCACCCT